GATAAAGACTTATATATATATATATATGTACCAATGAGAGAAAGAACAGATGAAGTAAAATTTTGCTCTTCGTAGCACTTACTTTTTTTTAAGTGCTCAATACAAAGTAGATCAATATTATTTATATTATTTTAGATATTACGACAAAACATGTTGAAATCGCTAGACCATAGCTTTTGTGTTTCGATACTACGTTGTACATCTTCAGGTGAATTGTAAGTGACTCTTTTTAAAATTTCTAACGCAAAATGTTACCTCTTTTCCGAAACCTAAAGGGGAAGGGTAAAAAAACACCTGGTCAGGATTAAAAATAGACTTGTAGGTTTGACGATCAACCATTTAAATGTCAGATCTACGCTAAATAAAAAATTAAGTTCCGTGAGTGGAGGTAAGAAAGTTATTTTTTTCATGACATGATAAACCGGAACTTAGACAGTTCATCATTGACACTTATGGAAAACATGTAAGCATCCAATGTATTGTCATTGTAGACGAATATGATATGGTCAATTTTTCAAAGGACGCTGAGGGAAGGGGAAGGAGTGTAATTAGGGGTATAGTTAATTTCAATAGAAAACAATTTTTTTTTTAATTTTTCGTATTCAAGAAGCTTTTTAAAGGGACCTAGAGGTAAAATATATTGTAAGGTAAAAGATAAACTGTGTCGTCAATTTACAGTTAATTCACTTTTTTGGTTTAGCAGTTATTTTTTTGTCAGCAAATAGGATAATTTCTAATTTTTCATGAAAAAAGTAAGAAACAAGGCTTATTTAAAGATTTACAGGTCCTAGCTTTTTTATTATTTTCCATTTTACTCTAGTTTTTTTAATCTCATGTAAGTTCCAAAAATATTTAGAAAGGAACGTCATATTTTTGTAAGCATTATTAGTGAAAGATAACACATGTTGATACCACCTAGCTTTAAAAGAATTCTTGTTACTCCCAATATAAAAAAAAATTAACTGTTGGATTTTCAATAGTAGGAATAGTGCTTAGATAATCAAGAGAGTCAGTTTGACATCGGTTTTGCAATGGGCATTCTTTAGAATTTCTACAGTTACAGTTACTTTGGAATGACTATTATTACTATTTTTGTATTAGTTTAGTATTTTATTATTATGTTTTTAATATTTTTTTCAAGTTTATCTGTACAGCTATAGCTTAGTTTTAGTGGATTTCTGTTAAAAATTTTACTGAGTGGATTATTTCTGGGGAAGTGTTTATCAATTACATGGAAGAATTTCTGTCCTAACTTAGTACTAACCATTCCTGTTCATAGATAAATAGATAGATTATGAATAGCCTGAGATAGATAGATAGATAGATAGATAGATAGATAGATAGATAGATAGATAGATAGATTTGGCTCTTGTGGGCCAATGAAAAAGAAATACTGGAAGCTATTATTTTCCATTTTACTGTAGTTTTTTTTTAACTTAATTTAAGTTCTAAAATATTTAGAAAGGGACGTCATATTTTTGTAAGCTTTATTAGTGAAAGATAATAAATGTTGATACCACCTAGTATTAAATGAATTCTTGTTACTTCCAATATAAAAATTTTGACTGTTGGATTTTCAATAGTAGGAATAGTGCTTAGGTAATCAAGAGAGTCAGTTAGATAGATAGATAGATAGATAGATAGATAGATAGATAGATAGATAGATAGATAGATAGATACGAACAGACTGAGATAGATAGATAGATAGATAGATAGATAGATAGATAGATAGATAGATAGATTTGGCTCTTGTGGGCCAATGAAGAAGAAACACCGGGAGCTGTTCGCTGAATGATCGAAGTCTTACGTATAATGGTTCATCGGCGTTCGCTACTTTAATGTTGATACGGATAGGTGAAAGCTAAACATTGTAAAATTGGCTTCGAGTTTAGCACAGATCGCGAGGTATTTGAGTCTTTCAATGACAGCGCACATATTTGTATTGAATCACGACAAGAACTTACAGCTGGAAAATACATTTGACGAGAATAAAATGCAAGTGTCGCTTCCATATAGCATACTTTTCTCATGAGGCCTGCTTTTTGTTATGTGCATTTTGCATGATGTAACCTATGATTCTCTTATTCTTAGTAATTCGTATCAAAAGGGTTTATATGTCCGTAATTATGATATATCTATTATTATCTGATCATGCCATTTATTTCTGTCTATCTATATACCTCAGTCTATTCGAATCCATCTGCCTATATGTATACCTAAGTTTGTCGTATCTCTCCCTATCTATCTATCAATCTATCTATCTCAGTATTTTCACATCTATCTATTTGTATACCTATGTTTGTTCGTATCTATTTTTATTCATATCTGTCTGTCTATCTGTATGTCTATCTATCTATCTATCTATCTATCTATCTCAGTCTCTTCACATCTATCTATTTGTATATCTACGTTTCTTCGTATCTATTTATTTATCTATCTATCTATATTTCTATCTGTCCGACTGTCTGTCGGTCCGTTTCTCTATGTGTCTCAGTCTCTT